ACAAGTGCATCGCTACTAGGAACAAGTGCCACGCTAGTAGAAACAAGCGCCACGCTACTAGTAACAATATAATACATAATAATATATAATGAATCATGGGCTCTTTGAAACGCATTCCCCATTCCACCGAATCTGGCACGTCAGGGAAATGACTTCAAGCTGCAGTTGGAATTGTATACCCGTCATTGGGAAAACACCGGTGAAGCAAAGCTTGGCCAGTTGACTGCGCAAGCAAACATTTTGAAGAGCTGAACGACAGAGGTGCGTGGGAAAATAGAACAACAGATACGTCTTTTCGGAAGACTCCAATGGCGAACAAAGCACAGTCCATTCCAAAAAGCATCTTCAAAGACAAAAATTTTCTATCGACTAGACTATATACATGTTTTCAACGAGCTCATGATGGCTTCGACCTCTACTGTGTGCGGTGTTCAATCCGCTGGGAAATTTATGTTTAACAATGATTTACAATTATAATAATGATAACTCATTATACAAACGCTGTAAGACCTTACGTGTTGAACTGGTGTCCAATAGAGGCATACTCTTCAGATCTCTTCAGCAGTCTGTCGTATGTTTTGGAATTAGCTACTTTTCTGGCGATGTTACTAGTAGCGTCCTTGCTCCTAATAGTAAGGCCAGGACGCGTCCTCGCTATGATCACTACCTAATGTGGATACATTCAGTCAGAAGTCCAGCCGCCGCAGCCTCTGCCGAAAGAACTCACCTGACTGGGCTCATCAGGTGCACTCTTCTCATTCAGAATTTCACGATCGAACCACCTCTGGCTTGTTGTGTGTGGTGGTTTGCTTGAGCAATGTGGTTCCAACATCAGTTTGCTCTACAGTAGTAATCCGCCGACCCCGTGGTGCAGCAAGGGGGAGCGCGCCCCGAAATGGTATGTTCTGTTGTATCAATTGTGGCCATAAGGTGTGCTACTGCTTCTTTATCTAGAAATCCCACCCCGAAGTGTTTTTGGTGCTCGGTGCACAGGTTTCTGTGCCCCTGCAACAGTGGAATTGCCTGCCGAGATCCCAGCTCGAAGTGTCTTTGGTGCTCGGTGCACAGATTTCTGTGCCTGGAACAATGGAGCTCTGTGCCCCAACAGTGGAATTCCTGCCAGAACCTTGATTTTTTTATTCCGTTCAGGAGTGGCGTTTGGCGGCAGAGGGACGGCAGGAGGCTGTTTCGCCGTGCCAGGGTGTTTTCCTGATTCGAAGGGTGTCTTGTGGCTTGGCTTGTGTGCCTGGAACAATTGCCTGCCAGACCCTTGATTTTTTCATTCGGTTCAGGAGTGACGTTTGGCCCGGGCAGAGGCACGGCAGGAGGCTGTTTCGTCACGCCGCGCCAGGGTGTTTTCCTGATTTGAAGGGTGTCTTGTGGCTTGGTTTGTGTGCCTGGAACAATTGCCTGCCAGACCCTTTGGCCCGGGCAG